CGGCGCGGCTCCAGGGCACCGGCACTGCCGCTTCTGTGTTTCCAGATGGGCAGCGCCATGCATGCTTCAGAGGAGGCGTTTGAAAAACACGCGTGTGTCAGCCCTCGGGCCGGCCCGCTAGATTTCTGTGTGGCATCTGCAACAACTTAATTTTGTCTTGGCAACGCTCTGCCGAGTACACGCACAGTTTGGGGGGACAATTGTCCCACTCAGGTCCTGCGGCGTGCCCGGCTGCAGGCCATGGTGAGGCGGGAGTGTCCCCACACGCAGCAGCAACCTGGTCTGCAAGCTGGGGATCAGAGACAAAAAGAGAGACTTACCTCTGGCTGGCCAGCGCTACATACCAGGGCTGCTTCCAAAAGGAAGCCACAGGTTTGCATGCATGGAGAGCAGCAAGGTAGGAGACATGAGCTGGCTGGGAGGCGACAAGGGGCCGGCTTTGGATAGGCTTCAGTCAAGCTCACGGGAGAGAAACTGAAGACATTCGCAGTCTGTGGCAGCTCGGCCCACCAACGTCCCTCTGCATTTGCTGGGCAAGCAGAGCCACACACAGGCCCCCATCCACTCATCACTGGTAACTGCTGCAAAGCCTGGCCCTAATAAGCAGGCAAGAAATGGTTTGATCTCCACTCTTTTCCATCTGAACCTCTTCTGAATCCCCCCCTCTGGAGAACACACAGAGAGAAGATGGGGAATATCATCGTCACTTGAAGGTGGGGATCTCCAGCGGAGTCTAAGAGCTGTACTGGGTCTCACGCCAGGGACACACAGGGGACCAGGAGCTGAAGTTACACTGTCTGAGTCCCATGAACAGTCAGAAGAGCAACTGCTCCTCTTCCAGTCGAGTCTCACATCCAAACCCTGTCGGTTATGTACAGAGTTCTGCAGCCATGTTTGCAAAGGACTGTGAGCCAAATCCCACACTCTGGGAATTGCTCTAGCATCAATGGTTATGATGTTACTGACAGCAGAACTTGGCTCCTTGTTTTAATTTTTATTGGGAAAAGAAGTCAACTATTTACACTCAGGCTTTCACACAGACACAGCTGGCTTCCCCGAGCTGCTTACTTGTTAGGCAAACCAAAAGGGTAATGACGATGTCTTGTATCAAACACTGGCGATTCCCAAAGATCTGCAGTTGCTGGAACAAAACCAAAAACTTTTAAAGGCAGCACCACCTGAGAACTGATGACAACTTTGACGATACAAACTGTAGCATCTGATGCTATTTCAGAGCAATGTCATGCCACAAACTGTAGCATCTGATGCTCTTTCAGAGCAATGTCATGCCAGCAACAGCAGCCTCACAGCCCTGATGCACCCCTATGAAGACTAGCAAGCCCAGCTTGTAGGCTGTCAGCTGGGTCCCACTGAACGAACCCCTTGCTAATTCATAGCGCTTGTGGGCAACCCAGTGGCATTTGAATGTTTTCCCGACAGATACCACTGTCCCTGGACCACCCAGATGAGGTCACGCACTCCCAGCCCACAGTAATAGCAATGACAGCCGGAGTCTCACTTTGTGCCAGGTTTGAAATGTCTTGAGGTAGTGGGGGCATGGACGAAGTTGGCGTGCCCACCCTCGTGGCTGGGGAAGCTGTCCCCATGTGGTGACCCACCAGTGCTCCCTGCTTGTCCCCACGCCTCGGCTGTACCTTGCAGATTCGCAGCAGCTCACTCGGTTTTCTGCCCTTCACCCTCTGCGGGACCGCGCACAGAAGATGTGCGTGAACTGAGGCAAGACAGGTGCCCAGAGTAAATCCATACATTAATTTCCTTCGCTGTTTTTCTTTTCATGGATTAAAATTTTAGAGGATTCATCACATAACTGGTGATACACAATGGTAATTCTTCCTTAACTACCCTCCTTCATCTGCCTGAGACTCCTTTTTCAAGATTTCTCCAGCTGAGAGAGGCAGCTGCTCTCCCAAAGCCCCTGTTTTACAGCAAGTCCTGCTCCTGGGCCTCCACCACCCAGCTAGGCAGGACTTGCCCCCCCTTCTATTTCCCTTTCTTCTTTTGGAAAAGATGAAGTTTTATCACTGGGCTTTTCCCCTGATTCTGGGGGTCCCTACCACCAAGCTACCCCCTGCCAGTAATTATCCAGCTTTTCACATCTTTGTTATTCCTTGAAGCCCTGTATGCCTTTTCTTCCCTGCCGAGTAGTACCACTAAAGATAAAAACCTATGGTGAGCATAGCGCACTGATAAAAGATGGGCATGAAACACCCAAAACACCAGAGCAGTACCAACAAACTGAATCAGGCCATGAAGGGTCAGGTATTTAACACAGCAAAGGAAGCAGCCAAAGCAGCTCGACCTTCCCTGCTCAGAACACAAAACAAAGCTAAAAACCCCACTTACAGCTACACTACTGCGGTTTTAGTGCTACAGGCAGTTTCTGCTTCTAAGGAGGGTAACTCCTTTTTTTAGGATCTTTAAGAAGAATAGAAAACAGTTCAAATTCCATATACAAGTATTTTGGCCTTAAGATACTGCAGAGCCACTTAAGTACCCTTCATCTGCAGTGTTTTTTTTTCTTTGGTTTTATTCTGCAGCCACAATTTTTATACCTGGATTAAGCTGCTCTTTCTTTTTCATTACTAATTTGCTCAACAGCTCTGGGAATCAAGCGCATTTCTACGCAAACAGGTAATTGTCTTTGCATAAATTCAGTTAAATGGCATTATTACTGGCTGTTCCATGGCTGTGTGCAGCATATGGATATCAATATTTTAAAGTGATATGACACACGAATGACATGAATGACAAGCAAATCTATTCTGTGGTCACTGTTATACCTGCCCTTTCATGTGACTCCCCTGCTGTACCTGTTGCAAGAATATCAGCCACCATGGGCAATGCTCTCCTAAAACCACAAAAAAACCTCCCATCACTGGTATTTGAGGATCAAAACCAATTCAAAAACCCTTCTGCTGTATTTTATATAGTTACTGAGGAATTAGGTTTGGTTTAGCAGCATCCTTGAGGGTAGGGCCTGCCCACTCGCGACCCCACACGCTGAGCTCAGAGCAGGCAGCAGCACACTGGGACAGCACCAGGGCAGCACCCAGCAGACTCACCTGATCAGCGCTGGCACACGCTGGATGTTGGGGATTTGGGAGGTGAAAGGTGAGGCCATGGATGCCTCCTGCTCTGACAGTGATATCCCTGCATGGGCCATTTTCAAAGCCTGAAATCCACAGGAGTAAGAAGATGGAGAGACATCCACCCACCCCTCCCACCCCGTGCAGTATGTTTACTGGTGCTTTACAAGTTTTGCTTCAAGTGTCCTTTGTAATTGATCTTCCTCTATTCTGTGGTCCAGCTGATCTCATTTTCCAGATATCTTCCCTTCCCTGGAGCTTAAATATTTATTTTGTTCATTTAATCCCACTATACCTATTTACAATCCTTTGAACTACCCTGTATGCTGTTTGCCTCACCGGAGTTTGTGCATACCTTGCCTGTTAAACAGTCTCCCAAAGTATTTAAATTACCATTTTATCCTCTTTCTATTCCTTTCAATCTCCTGTTCATATTTATTTTATTGCAGTCTTATGAGCTCCTTGTCACCTGGCCTTGTCACCTCTGGTTTAGTGCTCAGGTGTAGGCTACGGACAACTTTTACAAAGCAAGCTAATGCATTATTATAAAATTATATTATGATAACATTTATTATAATAATATAATAGAGACTATAATAATTATTTTTATGGCTAAGACCCTCAAATTTACAATTGTCAATTTGAACAAACGTGTAAGGAAAAGTCCCTTGCCCCTATTTCTGGGGGGAAAAAATCAAAATAGTAATCCTCTGTTATTGTGTATGTTAGTATAAAAAACAAAAAAAGCATGTAGATAGCATTTTACAGTGACAACACTGACCGAGTGTACCCATGGGCTAATTTGGGAAATGCTAGTGACAAGTGGTGTTGGGTAGCCCCTTGTCACAGCACTCCTTAGGTTGGAAGAGATGAAATCCAACAAGAACGGGAGATGAGCTCCTACGTACCCCGCAGTCATTGGCGCCATCACCACACATACCCCCCTAGTAACTGATGGAGGAAGAAGGAAGACACATAAACCTTGCACGTAGCTGTTTGATCCCGTGGTGGAGCACCTGTTGGCTTAGCACTTGCAGGTACATCAGATCAGGGGCCTCATGGTGGCCCTGGAGAAGGCGGTGGCTGTTTCCAGAGGACAAGCTGTATATGGGGAGAGGTTGGGGCAGAGCGTACAGAGCAAAACAGACACAGGAATTGCTGAAATAATACAGCAGCTCCCAAACCACAACACATGAAGTTCCTCTGAGAGGGCAGGAAAGTTCAGCCCTAGAAGAAGCACTACATAACCAATAATTAACTGGGTTTTTTTCAGAAAGGTATCACGTCTTGTTTATGCCTAGCATCCATAGTTAGCGTGAGTCCTGTTTGGGGAGGAAACATTCCTTTTGGGGGACCTGAAGGACCATGTTTGGGGTCAGACTCCCAAATGCACCAGGTTGTTTTCAGCTTTGCTAAAGCTGCAGCCAGGACAGCACCAGCAGCTGTGTGGGAGTTGCTGGGGGGGGCTATTTGTATATGTGGGGGTCTGCCTCTGTATTTTTATCTCAGCCTCATTTAATGCTGCCTTCTGTACTGCACCCTGATGGGTGCCTGACACTTGTAAAACCCTCTAATCCCATCTCCTGAACCCTACCATGGGTTTGCTACCCTTAGAGTTCAGGTTTCCTCTAACATGAGATTTATGCTGCTCTGTTTTCTGCCTTGCCTGCTCTGTAGGAGGTGCTGGGAAGCCAGCGATCACCACGTGCGCTGCAGCAGCCTTTAGAGCAGCAAGGAGTTATAAGTGTTTCCCAAGTGCTGAACAGATGGTTGATGACAGCAGCAATAACACTGCTTGGCTTGAGGTTTCTCCTACCTGAAAATCTGGCCAGAGAGTATAAAATCCAAAAATCTGTCCCAGTGCCAGCTATTTTATGAACTGGGTGACAGGAGTTGAAGACTTCTGCTGCTAGATGTGGGTATTGCATGTTCCTGATGCCCCTGCTGAGCAGAGGCCGTTGTCAGCTATGGTAGTGGTACATGGGAATGGGATTGATGTTTTTAATTAAACTGAAATTGGGAAGGTGACCATGCATTAACTCCACTGCACAGCTGCTCGTAGCACCACAGCCACCCCTGTCATTTGAGGCCTTAGAAGATGCTGAAAGCAAGCTGTTTGGGTTAAACTCGAGGCATGGTGGGAGGCTGCCCAGAATTGTCAAAATGTGAAGTGACAACACTACAGCTGCTGACAGAAACTTTCTCCAGCTGGAACACCACTGCCACTTAACAAAACAGGGAGGGCAGGTAAGTTCTTTGTTTCCTCTGAACTTACTTTTGCCAGCAAGTTGTAGAAGTGCATTACAATACCCTGACAGGACTTTCCATTCATTGCAACATGGTAGCTGCAGATTTCTCCTTCCAAGGTGATCTCTTCCTTGGTATTAGCGCATACCTCCTAGAAATAAGACAGCATTTATTCTCAGACTGAGGTCATGACATGCCATTTCACTCCACATTGTCAGCCTCCCACCAGGCAACCAGGGACACAGCTTTCTGCAGCATCCTTTTGTAAAACTGTACACCTGGCAGTACTTGATTTTCTAGCTGTGTTTCCACACATAACTAATCCCTGTTAGCCACAGGCTGCTAGTTTAGACACTGAAGTTTTGTCCAGCAAATAGTAACACAGACTAGTATGTATAATTGCATTAATTCTGCACACTTCAAGTGTGATTGAAGTGGCCACTGCATCTGCAGAGCCATGCCAGTTATTCGTGTAGTTATTTTGCCCTGAGCAAAGAGCCATTGTATTAATTATTTCTCCCTAATAGGTTCATGGTCCATACCACACCTCCATATACCCGGGGGTAGATACAAACTAGCCCCCAGGTTTCCTCTGTTCCTCGGAGCTACTTACAAATCCTTAGCAAGGAGCCCAGGCCTAAGGAGCCTGGATGTTAGATATCAATTAGACATTAAAAGCTTTGTTAACTCCCCCGGCACCTGAAAGCAACCATCCCTGGCTGTGCTTACACGGGGAGCAGCTGTGTTTGCTTTGCTGTCTTCTGTCACTCACCAAGCAATGGAAACTGGAGTGGAGCCCTCTGGTCTGTTTGCTTCGACGAGGATGACTTCGCTGCCCGTGTGAATCATACCCACATTCCTGGCCACTGTGACACCTGTCTGCAGGTTGTCCCCTGCAAGGATAGTGGAGAGGCTTCATCTCCTGCTTCAGGCAGTTCTCCATCACCAGGAGGCTCAGGAACGCCAGCCCAGACTCTGCCTCCTCTCTTGGAGCAAGGACAGAAACACATGTGCTGTTTCCTATGGACAGCACAGAGAGCAAGACTCTCCCTGCAGTTTTTGTTCAATGGGAAAGGCATGCTCAGTGGGAAACAACTGCTACGAGTTCAAGACAAGCAGCGCTCAACAAGCGCCACCATTTCTGCAGCTTCAGCCAAGCTGCTGATCCACTACATTGCTGTCTCCAGGAAGGAGCAATTCAGCAGAGATGTGTGTGCAGAGAGAGGTATAGGGATTTGCAGGAACTGGCTGGCTGAAACCCACAGATTATGGCATACAGAATTTCTATTGCAGTCCCAATCCATTGCCATGTAGAAGCACAATAACCAGCTTTTATTACGCTTTGATAACAGATTCTGAAATTCAGCTCAGTGAGCCTTGCAAGAGCTCACTGTAAAGCAGGCAATTAACAGTGTAATCAGCATCTGCTGAGAGGAAGGTGTTACATGGTACAGCTTCCCAATAGGCTTCCTTTGGCAGGAGGGGAGGGGAAGGTTTGGGGCAGGTCGTAACAAATCGATAGGAAAGCAACCCCACAGCGATACCGGCGGCTCATCAGCACGCCTTACCTCTCTAGGTTGCTCACGTATACATCCTTTCCTAGGTTTAGCACTTCATGGTCCAGGGCAGTGACTCTGAAGCCTTGGTTTGTGTACATCTTAAGCTCCTTTAAGAAATTAGCTGGGACTGTTTACAGGAAAAAAGTTTCATAGTTAGAATATTCCATCCTTGCTGCTTGCCTTTCTAGGGTTAAATGGCTGTCCTTTAAACCACTTTATAGCCTTAGTTACAGCACTGTGGCCTCTCATAGAAGTCAGCTGTTTTGTGCTAAGGCTGTGTCACTGACTGTTCAAATAAGCAATCTATGCATCTGTTTTATACTTTTAAAATGCATGATAAAGTAGAGGTAGATAAGATGATTACTGGGCAGAGGACAAATGACTGACTGCATAATTCTGTCCTAAGCTTTACTGCATACATGCTGAATGACTGAGGAAATTGATTTTATATTTATGCCTTAATGTGCGAATTCTCCAAAATCCTAATTTTTCAATTCTCTGATCATTCCTGTGACTCGAAAAGCAAAGAATTCCTTTTAACTTTGCGGTATTTTGTACTTACTACATACTGCAATCACAGCTTTACAGTGCAGTACCTAATTACTCATTAAGCTTTAATCAATATAGAAACAATCAAGACAGGATAAGATGAGCAATTTAGAACCCTGAGAAAGTGGAACATAATTTTGAAGACATTTTTCTTGCTTATGTTGACTTGTTTGGAGGTTTGCGTCATTAGATCTTAGATGGTTCAAAACTATATCTTTCCATTTTCCCTAAAAGCATTTTCACCTGGTTTTGGGTCAGTGCCATCTGAAATAACAAAACACAGAGCCACAGACCATTGGTACTGTGTTTGCTTGGCATCCTTTTGAAGTATTCAGTGAATGTGACCTGAGCTTCAAGTTTGCAGACAAATTTGATTATAAGCCTATAATATTGTTCACATACAAAAAAGAAAAGCCTATGTTTACTTGCAGAGAGAGGACAGAAGTCTTGGCTCGGGTGTTAATACCAATTATCCTTAATAACAGTAATTTGCATATCCACAGCAAGTTTCCCATCACTGAGATTTAAAGCCCTTGCAGGCTGGGTCAGTAACTCAATGCTGAGTTTACAGGGCAATAAATTAGCAGGAAATTTAAGAACTTGTACAGCGCATCACACTTGCTGTGACACATGCAATTACCATGATCCTACGTCTGCTCTGGGTATCTTGACATACCAGCATTATTTATGCACTGTATCTTCAGCTGATGCAAGTCAGCTAAGGGATGTATAGGGGCTGAACCTCAGGCTGTGCATCTCACTTGCTGTTGGGCTGTGTGCATCTTTAACTTACAAACAAGCAATGGAAACTTGTTTGTAGTATTAATTAATGACATTTAACAAGGCCAAGGCTTGCTTGTGGGAAGAGTCATACACATGCAGTTGCAGTGTGGCCAGTGGGAAGAGTGAGTGCTGAAAACCTTTTAGGATTAGAGCCCAAACATAAACTTCAGTTTGGATTAAGTCCAAATAAACACTCTAAAGTTGCCCTTTCCCAATTCTGTACCAGTTTCTTGTCTACAAAAGCTGGACACTTTTTCTGATGCTCCTTTCATGTACAGGTCATTCTGTTCCTCTCTGATCTTCTGTGAAACAACAGACATCGTCTGCAGCCCAGAAGAAAATGGGAATTGATGTAGGATTGCTGTGCCTCCCATGGGAGCCTGGAGAGGTCAGGAAAGTGAGCTGTTATTTAAGTCATTGATTACACAAAGCAAATCTGTTCTGAACTTCAGCTCATTTGAGGCTTTTTTGCTAAGGTGATTTATTATTAATAAGAAATTATTTCCCTTTTGCTGCCTTCTGGCTATGGGATCAGATCACTGATTACAAGTTTAGGAACCACAGTCTCAAAAACTCTGTCTTCCCAGTGTACTTCCCAGGAACCTCAATGTTTTTCTTTATATTTAACTGATTTTCCAGGCTTTGTCCCATTCTTTCTCTTGATAGCCACATATTAATGTGATATTCCCTTATCTACAGTCCTGGGAACTAAAATTTGATGTGTTACAGTGACATTACCATGGAAACAGAGCAATCCTAGAAAGAAGATTGATTTTCTTGTTGCCACAGCACTGTCTTCCCGGTATTGCTAGCAGAAATC